GAGGTTTTGATAAAAGTATGCGAGCTCTTGATTGCTCTTTTTGGTCGGCGTTTGGTGGTTATCAGAACCCTCTTGATTGTGGGCCAATCGACCTTTGAGCGTCGCTCTAGGGGCTCGCACGCGGTGTGTTCGTCGCCAAGAGCTCAGGGGTGGCAGCCAAAGTCCGTTCGTTGCCTTCGTCTCATGTGTGCACCTATGATATGCACATGTACAAACGTGTTTGTTGTTCATGCTTCTATCCCCTCCTTTCCCCACCGCAGGACAACATGACCCTCATCGCGGTGGATCTGCGAGGATTCCTGGAAGCATCCTCTCCGATCTCGGACTCCGCCATGTCGTAACTTGTAGTTGTGGCACACAATTTTGGTGGCGTTCGGCATTATTATTTGCTTGTTTTTTTGCCGAACGTCCTGGCTTGGCGTCTCCGTGTTGTCAATGTGCGCCCAGTCTACATTGAAGCCCCCCTTTTCCTGTTGCACTGCTGTCGTAAACGTGCGGGGCAGGCAGGAGGCAACAAGGTTCCTTTTGTTAACAACTCGTTCGATATTTCCGTGTCTTGTCTTGGCCGTCTGTGTCGGTGGTGAGCTAGAAGACCTCGAGGCGGGTGTATCTACCGCCGCTTTGCAGTTTTCCCGACGCTCTCCTCTGATGGTCTCACACACCGAGGCGACGCCGGGAAGAGTTATGTTATTGTTACTGGAGTAGTGGGTGATACAGGTATCTTTTTTTTTTTTGCATCGCGGAGGGTAGATGTCTATCTTGTGTTCATTGGTGGGCTACGTAGGGTGTCGCACGCGTGTGCGTTGATGCGCACGTTTTTGTTCCTTTTATTTTCTTTTCTTTTTTCGTGCGCTAGATTTTCCTGGTAGTTGACGGCTTGCTACCGTCGCCATATGATTGGCCGAAAACGGCAGACGTTTTGAGTCAGGCCTCAACGTCGTATATAGCTGTAAACTAGCATGTCTACTTCTGTCTATCGCGCCCTAGCGCATCATACGCCCCTAACATAGCATCCCAAATAGCGCCGCCGCCCCAAAACGATTGTTATTCGCTGATAAGTACCCCGATTGTGTGGGTGGTCGTCAGACGTACATCATTATTCATCGATTGGCCAACCAGAGCGTCGGTTGGAAATCTGGTCCCTTCTTTTATTTTAGAACAAGGCACGATCGCGGGAGGGCGGGGTCATCGTTAGGATATCAGACGGTTCAAGAGGTAGCGAGTTGGACGAATCATGTGTTTCCATCCCCGCCTTCGAAGGTGAAACCACTCCTACGGGCGAACTATTGCAGCAGCTCGGTTTTTTGTAGGTAGAATCCGTGACGAAAGGCAACGAACGGCTGCGAGGAGAGTTAGTTGTTGGCCAAGTCGGGAGTAGTTGCGTACACAGCCATTGGTGGAGACTCTGACTGTACATACAGGTGCTCACCGCAGCAGCAGGAAGGGGGGGGGGGGGGGGGGGGGGG